TCACAGGGTGCTTTCTAGATTTGAATTCGCAGTCATTCTGCCGTGGCAGGTCGATACTGACACGAGCAGGCAGTCAACAAATCAATCAGCGGCAATAGCAACCAAGAATCCACCCAGACAACGGGTCGCTTTTCCAAGGGAGACCTGGGACAAACATGCTTCAGGCAAATGTCGAAACAGTATTGTACTTACACTGAATAATTACATCATGTTTCATCACCACAATGTTTTTTGTTAGCCAATAGCTGCATTCGGTTCCCTAAAACAACATGTGAAAAGGCAATCTATATCATCCATGTTTTTCCACACGAACCTGTCCTTGGAGTGCATCTGGCACTGATGGTTTTCTTTGTTGTTCTACTCCGGTGAGGACGTGTATGAAATGTTACTGCCAAGTCCCTTATGTAAACACAATAAATGGGCAAATGATGAAGTAAAATAATACCACAATGCATTCTTATAATACTCTACAGGCAGTGCGGGAGTTGTGCCTATTGTGCAGGGCCTTTCATCACCCTCTGAAAAAGTGACTCTATGAATAAAACATATTTCAGCTGGCAGGGTTACCATGGTAAATACCACTCACAGAGACCCCAGGGTCAGCTCCCTCTGCCTTTGACCGAGTAATTAAAGTTTAAGAGGTGAGGTGGGATTATGTCTGGGTCTATAATTTGTGAATAGTCTGAACTATAGTGGCACATGTCAAAAACGATCTATCCATTCACAAAATTGGCTGGAATTGATTTTCTAAGGCTAGTTATTTTCATTGGGAAGAGTTCTTCTAAGCAAATGAGGTGCATTTTTTTTCAAAAACACAGTTATTGAGCACAGGCCTACAGGCCCAAAATGTCAAATGGCCAGCTCTTTCACAGTTGTCATAGATAATAGTTAACACATTTCTTGAATTTGACCAGGTTATGAGATATTGGGAAAAGAGAAGATTTGAGGGAATTACAAAGCGGAGCAGTACGATGGAGAAACAAAGCGAAGAGTGCTGAGAGCTGCAGTGTGCAGATGTTGAACATCCTGTGGTGGATGAGACAAAACAGTCAGTGTGGTAGACCGAGTCCACAACACGAGTAGTGCAATTCAAATGATAAAGTTCACAGAACATGGCAGTAGCGATAGAAAAGTGATAAGAAGCTGCTGACTAAACCATGAATGAACTATGACTATGTTAGTTAATACAAGTAATTCCATGATTGTTTGAACAAGATGCAAAAATTATTTTTAGAAAATGGATACAAACTTTCATCCTCCTGTTTTATGTTTTACACAAAATGTGAAAAAATTTCTGGAAAGTAAATTCTCAGTATCACTGCACATGGTGATAACCTTAAGGCAGGTGTGGGAAAAATGACAAACTGAAGACGCAATGTACGCATATGATTTCACCCCAACTGGATTGGTAACACCTGGGGGCGGAATGTAGAAAGCTCATTCATGCTCATCTTGGGTTTATCCTAGTTTCCAATATTAATGTAATCTGTAGTCCTAAAGAAAGAGCATTCTATTCTGAATGGCAATTTGCATCATTTTTATTTATCCGCACAGGTGGCACAGCAGTAGAACCTCCCATTGAAGGTCTGCAATTTCAAATCTAGGTTGGGGGTTGACTCAGCCTGCCATACCTCCAGGGTCACAATACGTTGAGCCCACCTTGTGGGGAAGTTAACAGCGGTTGCCGTATACTCACCCCTGCCAAAGGAATGCGGAATTTCCACCATCGGCTCCGGGCTGTCAACAGACTTCATCTCAAAATATTGATTTCCTTCCAAAACCAGCATGTACTGAAACATTAAAACGCAACATATTTGTCAATAGGACTGCCTTAAAAGGAAAAGTAATATCATTGGCAACGTTTCTAGGCAATGACCCTTATTCACACGAATTTTGACTTAAAGCTTTCGGGACTGCAGGAATACATATTCTATGGGTCTTTCGGTAAAGCACATCCACCGTTGCGGTGGTTCTCTTACATTGACATGCTAATCTCTTACAATACAATGGCCACCTCCATAGCCTCAGAGCGCCCTCCGATCTTACATTTACATGCAAATACCATCTCTAGCCCCGCCCACTTACCCTTGGGCGACACACAATACAATGGCCACCTCCACAGCTTTGGTGGCGCCCTACAGGCTAATCTCTCACAATACAAAGGCCACTGCCCCAGTCTCTGTGGTTGGACCATCTCTAGGTCCACCCACCTACCGAGATGCACCATCTCAGGCCTATATAAGACCTTGTCTCAGCAGCTTTCTCTCTCTCACCTGAAGACAATTGCTTGTGTTGTGATCGAAACGTCGTGATTTTTATTTTTCTATCTACGTGGCTTTACCGAATGACCCACAGAATAAGAATGTAATAAGGTTATATTCTTTGGTTCTTTCGGAAAAATCAAGTTGATAAAAAATTATAATAAAGTGAATACAAATAAAAACCACGACGTTTCGATCGCATCCTGATGATGACCGCTTGTGTTGTGATCAAAACGTCGTGGTTATTATTTGTATTCGCTTTATTTTTTTTCTATCTACGTGACTTTACCGAAAGAACTAACGAATATGAGTTCATGCAGTCACGAAAGTTAAGTCAAAATCTAAGAAGGTTCACAGGTCAACCCTGCTAATCACTGTCCTAGCTACACTTAGATAATTGCTTTATGATGATCACATAGTGAATGCAAAACCACTTTACAAAAAATAGTCAGTGGTTTCCTGTTCACGTGAGCATTGAGGTAGTGCTCATCTCCTGTTTAGAGTCAACCGAGTGGTGGAATGTTTACAATACTGTTGTGATGACGAGTCTGTACGTGCTTTTTCATAAGGTGGTACAATTTTTTATTGACTTCAGAGGGCTGATTAGCTGAGTCAACCTGCAACCAAAATTTTAACTCAAAACCATCCAATTGCGAACCGCTCACTGTACTACTGAAATGTGCAAAACCTCGATTGGAAAAGCACTTTGAGTAATAACGTTCTGAGCCCTGATTACAGGTGTGCTGGTTAGTAAGCACCAGTGCTGAACATTTACAGTACACTTTGTACGTCAGTATTTGGCGAGAGGTGCCATTTATAGATTAGGAGCAGAACAGCTCGGATGCTCGGTTAATGTTGTGATGCTGTCACATGCAACTGCAATGAGAGAAATGCTTCGGAGTTTGTAATGAATGTTAAGACAGAGCCTATTGTGTGGTTCTCTTTTGTTTGCACATGTAAACGTTATGAGGAGGCAAGACCTCACTGAGATTAACAATACAGTATTGTAACTGAGATATGGGGGGAACCGTAATATATATGCAGTACAACATATCTCAGAATGGAAAAAACACAATCATAAAAAAAAATTGATACAACTTTTCCAGCAAAATAATGTGCAAAAATAATTATATTAAACTCTTATTTGTTCTAAATTTTACACAAATAAGTTGCAAAAATATAGTCATAAGATACATCAGCCGTACCAGCCATCCTTACCTCTACACTAGAAATTAGCAATGATCACGTTGGGATATATCTACGAATGCAGAACTTTTATTCTGCATTCGTGATTTATGATTTAGTGAAAAAAGACACGGTAAAAAACCATACAGAAAACCCCTTCTGCAAGCCATTCATTTAAATGGAGTGCTGTAAATTCCATATATGCCCTAAAGTAACCTGCATAAACAAGCCTACGCACACGCGCGCGCACACACACAGACACACGAGCATGAAACCAAGTTTTAAACATGAGCACTCGTATGCCTGTCTGATCTTGTGAGGGAGAACAGCAGCGAAAAAAAGGAGCTATTTAGTTAATTTAGTTAAATACGTTTGCATGTATGTTGCATTTGAACAGACACAGCACTTTGGCCCTGATAGTTATTTAAAGGTGGTGCTTGCTATATATTTCCACTGACAGCATCCTGACTTCCACAATGTTAATACGATTTGCGTTTCACACTCAACGTATGGCTTTGATCATTATCGTCTCATACTCTGAGGTATGCAGCATACAACACGTACAAATGATGGCGCTATTTATTTACATGAACGATAACAGCAAGGAGTAAGAAATTGTTACACTTTATAAAACACTTATTTAAATGTATATACAATCAGACAAAACATACAGGATCACTCACACAGTTACTATGCAAGCAGGACTTGAATAAAACAAAGTATGTAAATTGCCCTGCAGGGTTGTTGTGTAAAAATACGTGATTAAATGAAAGGTCATATTTACGCTGCAGGGCTTTTCATTTTTTTTGTTTGTTCATCCCCACCAGATGTGATGGCTGGAAAACAGTAAGAGTTTGCTTACACGCAATGTCAGGGTGCGTGAGCAGGCAGGGAGGGAGCACGAGAAATCCATGCCATTTGCTGTCAGACACGACATTTTTACTAATCAAAGAATGCCAAAAAACACCTACTAAGTACTAGCCACACACAGAGGGTCGTTTGGGCAAGCGTCCATGCTGCTACCTATGCGCCAGTCACGCAAAAGCATGCTTTCAATTTGCGAAGCATGCACGTACTTTTTTTTAGAGTTTGTGAAAATGGTGACGATATATTCTTAGCTACGTTAATGTACAACAAATAAATCAAAATATAGAATATTAATTAACGGTTAACGTCAGGAGTCTTGCTGAATATAGCATTATATTATGTCAGGAGTTTTTTTTCAGGCTGCATCCAACATATGTCAAGCTGCAAGTAATTCATTCAGTTAAACATATGTAGTGAAATGGAATGGGTCACTAGTGGCGCGGAGCGCTGGTTGCTGGCAGAGAAGGGGATCTGCTGTTGTAGCAGCCCCGTCGGCCAGCAGGTCACGTGATAGGCCGGAGAAAGGGATGTGGGGCAAAGGTGACAGAGGGGGCACATGAGGAAAATCCTGGGAACCTTCTAGTATGTCCTAGAAGGGAGGCGTGGCCAAGGGCGGAGCGAGGCCACGCTGGGTGGATAAAAGGGAGACCCCGAGCAAGACTCGCGGCTGTTGGTTGGAGTGGAACCCGTCGTGCTGCAGGAGTCTTCGTCACCGTCTTTACCTCCCCGTCGTTGTTGGTCAGGCAGCCTGTTACCTGTCCTGACCACAGTGTCGTTACTCCCTGTACCTGTGAAGACTATAATAGAGTGCCTCCCACTATTAGTGTATCTGAGTGACTCACTACACATGTGCTGTTCTTATTTATATTAATTTTTTCCCTTTGAACCTTTTCATCGTAATAGTCCCCGGATTTGCTTCAACATCAACCGAAAATAAAGGTCCATGGTAAACAAAGTGTCGATCATTGTGATGAGAATCCTGATGTTTGATTTACAAATAAATGTCATGGTGAGACAATTACCCAATGATCACAGTGAAGCTGGTTGTTTTTCTTATAAAAGTGTGGTAACTTTTAACGTTTGTCCAAAAGTCATGAGCCATGGTTATGCAAAAATTTCCAGTCAGGAAACATTTACAATGAATATGAATATACATTGATATGGCATCTTGCAAAGCGACCGGCTTTGACTGGAAGATATGAAAAAAACCTGTCATCGTTTTCAAATATACAGTGAACATCAGCCTACATCCAGGTGTATGAATACGGTAAATACCTTACATTTGTGGTAAGAGTAAAAGGTTTAATGTCACTTGGCATTTAATGTTTTGATATGGACAAACTTGCCCCCATCATGGGAATGTGCGGTTTAACCACTGGCAGGAGATGATCACCGTCTCAAGGCTCATTTGAGCAGCAAATCAATTTTACTGATTTATATTTGATATATCTGCTTATGGAGTGAACAAACTGAGTAATGCATTCAACATTTAACTCCTGCTAACTGGACATTAACTGAAACCTTAATTAGATGTGTTAGATGGTGTGGATTCGTGGGCGGAGCTAATGGCTATGCTAAAGAGAGCATACACCATTAACTTAGCGGCCCATAGAGCGCATGCAGTGAGTGGTTGGTGGTTGGTTCTTCCCTACGTCGGAGGGAGCTGGATTAGCCTTGAGAGGCGCTCACTCTCCCCTATGGTGTGTGCAGGATCGTGATGAAACGAGGCGGGTGCGTCACTGACAGTTCCCTTAAGCAGAGACTTCGCTGAATGGAAGGCGCAGAGCTCACAGTGGATGTCCTGCGCTACTCCGGGCTGTTTGTATGTACGTATGTTGTGTATGTGTATGTAACTTATTTCGCATCGTACGTAGCCAACCGTGTTAATTGGAGGTGTTGCACTCATGCTAGGATTGCTTGCATTTACTGACTTGGCTATTCTTTGGACACAGTGTTGACCATGCCAGTTTTAATATGGTCAGACGGCAGTCTATATAATGAGACATTTGTGAGTACACATCTCAGCCCATCACCCTTCCAGGATTAATAAAACGTTTCGATATTTAATGTATGTATTCAACAACAGTTGAACTATGAAGAGACTCGTTCCTGCAATAGGAATGCCATTATTATAGCATGTTTAATGGACACTAGAAAAGTTTAGGATTGTTAAATACTTACGTGAGCAGGGAGGCATTTTTTAATTTCAATTATAGATGAATGCTTCCAAGTTTATAAAATTGTGCACTTAGAAAAAACGATACACTCGAGTTTACTCAAATAGTTTATTTACATTCTCCTATGAGTAAAAGTCAAATCGCCTCAACCACAAGAATAATGATGTGTAAGTGTTCAGGTGGCTCAGAGCACTGACCGATGAGATACTGGGTTTGAATCCAGATAGTGATTAAACCTGGTCCTCTAATGCTGACTTAATTGTTGCAGTCCAGTCACCAGTGACTGCACACAAAAGCATATATACAATTTAGTTATTGACTCGCATTTGGCTAAATTCCAGCCTTGAGAATGTAACGTTATGGTTTGACTCCAAACCGACAAAACATTACTCTCTGGCAGAGGAGGTGACAAAGTGATAACTTTTACTGTGCAGACCAGGGGTTACTTGTAGGAATCTCATATGTAGTTCAGTGATATCCACTTCTGTCGTTAATTTTCTAACACGAAGAGTTGCACTGCACTGGGAAAGACCCGGATCGCTCGTCGAATGACAATGCCCTCTAGCGCAACTTGGCATACAATTGGGGACAAATGTCAAATAACCAAACCTCTTAATGGGTGTGGGATAATATCCTCTCATCCTTGTTGACAGGGTGAGCAAAGGGCAAGCTGTCATAAAATTGCCTCCGTGAATCTGGCTGAAATTTGTCTTGTCCAGAGGGCTTACAAAGTTGGCATATTGTGGGGAACATTCTGCGGTTTCATGAAGCGCTTCTAATTTTTTAACGTTTTTTTCAATCTACATTCACTTTTCCACTCGCCCTTTATTACATAATCACATGTAAAATACGTTTTCAGGAATTTGTGTTCACTTCCTTGGGAGGCAATTGGTCTCGTCACATTTACAACATCGTGTGTGCATCATAGGCCTATTAAACTGCTACAATATCTCTTTAAAAAGTTGAGAACAATTAAACCCATGCCGTCATCTTCTTCAGAGGCACGTTGTTGGCATGTGCAGCCCTTTTAAAGTCTACAATGCGCATGTGAAAGCAATCAGACACCACAACAAATACTTAATTTCCTTTCACACAGGAAGATCAGAGACGCTACAGAACGGCGTGAACAACTTATAACGGTTGCTCTTCACAAGGCTCTTTCAGCCGAGTTTCCCCCCACAGGAACAACACAATCTGTGGGACAGCAGAAGCACAAACCTGCAAGATCGTTGATGAGTTCTGTCCCTTTGACCTTTTGTGGGTAGCAGCATGTCTTCAAAGGGCAGCTACGATTCAATTTACGTTTTCGACATCATTTCTTTATTTACGAGGTTTTTTTTCCAACAATGAGCCATGTGTTGCTTGCCAGATGATGTTCAACGAATTTCATCAAGAAGAAACGTTTTAGAATCAGTGCTTTTTGAACTGTGTGAGGATGCATATGAGAGCAATACTCCCCATAAACATTTATATTTATATGTCAAAGAATAGCAACTACTCTGAACATAATCTGTTATAATGCTAATTTAAACCACATGATTTATTAAATGTAATGTTACAGTCGTGTTATGTTTGTTTGGCCCATTTTCTACTTATAATGCCAACATTTCCAGAAGAAAAAAACATGTTTTAATCAAGATGTTGATTATTTACAAATGTTTTAAATAATTGTCATCAATGAATATTACCAAGGATTCAAGCCATATATTTAAATTGTGTTAAATGCTATACTATGGAAATGTATGTAGACATAAGCTTTTTAAAACACAATGTGTTTTGGAAGATATATCTTGCAAGAAACACTTTGTCACAACAGGATTTCACATAAGTATAAAATAATGTATTTATCGTACTTGTGTAATGTAGCTCTCTGAGACACCGTCTTGTCTTTCTGTATATTTATTTGGAATAAAGTCCACTGACAACTCAACGAGTAACCACGAGTGACTATATACACTTGGGTAATTAGACAACTCTATTCTGAGACAACATAGTTTCTAGTCTCAAGACATCTCGAAGACGATGGAGACAACCCGTTCGAAGGCGACGACGATGATTCCCCAAACACCAACAGCTCCTCAGGTCCGGTTCGAGCCGGCTCTTATGCCTCGCCAGATTCGGCCACGCCCCTATTCTCGAATTCTCCTCACCGCAGCTGGCTCTGTCAATTTCCATTGGATCCCGTGCTCCCCCTCACGTGACCCTGTCAACGCTTGTCCCATCAATCATCATTAGCACGTCCATGAGTAACCATGGTGCCGGGGAACCCTACTGTCCCACTATTGCTCCGTACTGTCTTTACATCACCCCCCCCCCCCCCAGAGGTGTGGACTCGAGTCATGTGACTTGGACTCGAGTCAGACTCGAGTCATGAATTTGATGACTTCAGACTCGACTTGGACTTGCATAACAATGACTTTGTCCCACCTCTGAGGTGTGGACTCGAGTCATGTGACTTGGACTCGAGTCAGACTCGAGTCATGAATTTGATGACTTCAGACTCGACTTGGACTTGCATAACAATGACTTTGTCCCACCTCTGCCCCCCCCCCCCCTCTTAAAAAAATAGACGTCCTCGGTTAACACAATTTTAACAACTCCTTTTTGGTCGAATCAACCCTTCAACACAATGCAATGCATAATAGATGTTCTCGGATTGAAGGGGAACAACTAACTTCTGAGAAGAACAATGTGAACAACCACACTCAACCCAACAACAACAACAATGCCAAAATCTGAACATCACACGCAACGCAAACCACAATTTCGCGAACAATACTAAAAGCCCTGGAATTTTTTTACATACGGACGCCCAACAATACACAACACAAAACACAATTTCACGGCGATCCGTCAACGAAATGTTCAGTTCTTGACGTCGGTCCATCTCCCTGGGCAGATTTGTGGCCGTCAATGGCCAAGAGGGCTTGCACTCAAGCCCGGAGGGGGGGGGGTGGGGTTTGAGGTTCTTCGGGCACTTCTGACGCCAGAGATTCGCAACTGGACAACACACATCCCTCGGTGTCCGATTACTCCAGCCCACCGGCCCGGCCCGTCTGACACCCCAGACCCCGACCGCACAACACTGGAGATAAATGATTTAAATCTAAGATGAGCATACGGCTCCAAGCATAACTTATGGGCAACTCAGCGGCAACATCTCACTCGCCCTTGCCCACACCGCGGCCGTCAATTTCAACAACCTCCACCGGCCATTTCTCAGGCCAGTGCAATTTCGGGGACGAAAGCAATGGCACTTCACAACCAACTCAGCCATGCTCTATCCTGTACTCACTTCCGACTCACATACTTTCGACATATCCTCCAGCCTGACCCACAGGTTTTACTGGTAAGGAAGGTTTGTCCCTTCTTGAGGCCGGACTCCATCAAACATCCATAGGGGTGAACTTCCATGGCCAACATCCACTCAATAGGAATCACATTCAACAGGAGTCGCACTCAACCTCCTGAACCCTTAACAACTTAAGTTTAACTGTAACAACTCACCCTTCCATGCTTCACAGCATGTGTCCTAACACACTACTGTTTCAGCGGTTGGCCCAAACCCATCGCTCCTTGCTAAGCACGCTTAAGCAATACCTTCTTCACCTGAACCCCTGCAATTACCATATCCCCAATAGGACATGCAGGAACGGTTCCCAAATTCTACTTAACATCTTTAGCACCCAAAGCAGTGTGAGTCTGCGGCCTTTCAGCTCTAGACGGGCCAAGGAGGACCTCCGTCTCCTTCCTGCCAGGTCAAACTGTTCGCAATAACGCAACGGGACCACTATCACCGAATAAAGTGAGCCCCCAGCCCACCGTTACGGACGTGCCATGGAGGGTCTCGACCTCCGGGCCGTCAGGTCAAACCGCGTGCCAGAATACGACGGGACCACTACTCCCGAGCAATGTGAGCCCACATGCCAGTGCTCTAGACGTGCCACAGAGGGTCTCGACTTCCAGGCTGTCAGATCAAGCCGTTTGCAGCAACACGACGGGACCAATACTCTCATGTAAGGCGGATCTCTAAAGATTCCCTGAATATTACCCACTATCGCTCGGGGACGAAAGCAAGTACTGTCTTTGCATCTGCATGAAAAAAAACGGAGCATGTTGAATTTTCTGACCTCTGAGGTTCTGGCCTGGCACATGACTGCACTCTCAGAATTAAATGTGAAAAGCAAGATGACTTTGTACTGGGTGACCCTCTATTTGCGATGACAGCACCGACAGTCACCTCATATTGCAAAGAGCAATTGGAGTAATTTTATTTCCAAAGGAGAAAAAAATGCCAGACAATATCTTTGATGGTTAAGTTGTAATGCATGATTACCCTGGCCCTGGCTCAGTTGTGCATTCCCACCAATTTCAGCTGCTTGGCTGGTATGGAATAAATATACATACAGCATGCCAGTTCATAGATTTTTTTACAATTAAAAATATGGAATAAATATCAATCTGAAATTGTTGTACTTCTCTGCTTACAAATTGTATTATGATCCCATACAATAGTCACTCATAATAATCACATATAGACAATGAATGGAACATTTGATTTACCTTTAAATGTCTCTCGTTACAGATGGCCGCTTGGTCAGATGGCTCAATGCTAAAGCGTGTGGCTTGCAAATGGAAGGCTGTCAGTTTAAATCCGAGGTAGGAATTCACCCCACCTGCCTTGTTGATTACGACATCCAGGCTTGCATCATCCTTGCCTCAATATACTTTGGTAGACTGCACTCTCGGGTCTACGAGAAACAACAATCTAAGAATACCAACGAAAGTGGCAATCTAGCTGACAGTATGTGTGTCAAGGTTATTCTATGGCTCTGAAGCATGGACAACCTATCGCTCTCACATCAGACGCCTTGAGGCTTTCAACATCAGGTGCCTCCAATAGATTATCAGCGTCACCTGGGAGTATTGTGTCCCTCACGTTGATATCCTCCAGTGTACTGAGACCATCAGTATGGAAGCAACCCTAGCAAAGATGCAATTCCGCTGGGTGGGTCACGTCATTCAGATGCTTGGCAGTCGTCTACCTTGTCAGGTGTTCTGTGGACAACTCCCAGCAGCCAGCAGAAGACCGGGCGGTCAAAAACTGAGGTATAAGATCAGCTGAAGGGGGCACTAAAGAGGTGCAACATCAAACCCAGCGACCTTGTGGCAGCTGCAGCTGATCGCCCACTATGACGCTCCTTATGCGACACAGGGGTCAAACACCTTTCAGAACAATGCACCCAGCAGCAGATAGTGGTTCAACAGCGCAGACACCAACACGCTGCACCAGAATCATCCCAGCCACCAGTCCCAAGAATTATTTGTCCCAGCTGCGGCAGCATATGTAGCTCCAGGATCGGGCTTCATAGCCATCTGCAGTGGCATTATAGCCAGCAGCGATATCCACTAGCAAATGTATGTATCAACAAACAATGGAAGCAACGTTATCTTCGTATCAATGGACTGCCATAAGCAAGCAAATTAAGCAGCAAGCCACAGAAAGTGGAATTTCCACCAATGGATCAGGGCTGCAAAGAGACGATGAGCACCAACTCTTTGGTCAATCGAGCAGGAGGACATCGCTCTATCCTGGGCAGGGGTCTCACCCACAACTGGAAAATCCCAGTCAGAGATCAGCTCTATCCATTGTCTCATTTGGTTGTGAAACCTAATGGTCAACAGCAGTTGTCCTATGAATAGACTGGCTCCTACCATAATGTGAAACGGACACCACTCGCTCAGAGCTAGTAACGGGAAATCGTATCCTCGTGTAATAATCCTTCTGAGACGGCTTCGGAATCGGTCCTTTTTATTTCCACTTCCACAATACACTTTACTCACACACTCTCCGTTGTTGGCAGACAACAGAGAGCGGGCAGACTTCACACCAAGTTCCCACCGCGCACGTGGCACCTAGAGCCCCCGTACGCGCGTGGCTCTTGCTCTGCTCGTTCCCCAGTCTGCTCTCGATCGTTCGCTCTCTCTCTCTCTTAATCCCTTCGTCACGTGGTCCCCCCAGCCAATCCTCCGTAGACAGCATTGACCGTTCTCGATGGTTCCCTGTCAATCCCGGGACCACGCCTCTGATCCGGCTCCCCATTAGCTGGGGCCCCGAATGGCCAGGCCACTCCCCCCTGCTAACACGCCGCAATCACGCAGAGGCCATGTTCCCTGTCTCAACCCTTATTGGCTACAAAGCAGGACCGGCAAGCCAATCCCCACGTGAACCCTCTATGGCTGTTATTACACTTGTATCAACATACCCCAGGATGCACTTGTCTTGGTAGGGACTTGTTTTGATGGTTGCTGTCTAGCGATGGGACAGACATGAGAATTCCTGCCATCGTTGGTAATAACCGTCAAATATTGGAGGCGTTTGACGTTCACATCCACAATAGTCTGTGTGTCCAGTATTAATCTATTGGCCCTGCCACCCAGATCGCTGTGATGTGCGTCCGACCCCTGGAGATGACAACTCGTCATAGCACGTGCATCACAGCCAGCAGCAACTGCATGCCAGCACCATTGGCCTTTGTACAAAATTCCACAGACAAAACCAGGCGATCATTCATTAGAGTATGAGCTATCCTGCAATAATTGAGCCTGACAGTGTGGATGAACTTGGCTTGTCCCAGTAGTCTGGGCGGCGTGTGTATGATAACGGAAATACAACTTTTATGAAAAATGAAAACTTCGCTTTTTACACTTTTTTCCAAGTGTGATAAAAATGGAGTGTAGAGAACCATGAGAATAGGGTTTCCCCTTTTTCTGGCAACAAGACAGGTGTTAAGATGTTAAAACACCAAATTGAAACCTTTTGCAAGGAATCATGTCTGCATTAACCACAGATACTTGTGGTGAAAATACAAACAAAAAACATGCTCTGACAAAAAATGCATTGTCTTTGAAACTGATTGGTACACACCAGAGACAGCTGTC